AGCTTCATAATAGTACTATCATGTAGTTGCCTGTGAATAATTGCTGTGCTTTTGGGTAATAATCTTCATGCAGTGGTGTAGGATTTCTTACCATACCAGTTTGCAAGTACTCCCTTGTTTCCTTACTTTTTTCCCAATTCAATCCTACTATTTTTCCCATTTTTAATGTTTTTGATTTACTTGTTGATAATTTGGGCTTAGATGCTTTATTTATGGTTTGGATTTTGTAGATTTCGCATATTTAGAAATAATTCAGAATTTACACATACATGCTTTAAATTATCTTGATTTTGATTTCTTTGTAAACTTTTACCTCTGCATAAATCACTCACTAGGCTATGACATAATTATGTTAGATGCATGAGCTGTGAGTGCATGACTGAATGAAGCACTATGGTGCAATGGACTCACCTGCTGGAATTCACCTGAGTGATATGCATTACTTGTACTGTGATATTTTAAGCAATTTGAAAAAAATTATTATTATTGACTGCATAATTATAATGATAAGCTATGGGTGTGGCCAACAACTAACTAAATCATGGCACATGGGTAGGAGAAAGAAGAAAAGCTGAAATTTATTTTAGCATCTAAAGCTCTATTCCAAGAAAGAGTTGGCACAGAAAATTTTTCTAGATATTTAAAAGAGACTGAGAGAGTTTGGTTGCTCCTGCTTTCCCCAGTGCCGCCTGAAAAATTCTCAAAGAGGCTAAATCACAAACTTTGAGCAACTGTAACTCACAAAAAACGAAGTTAGGACAAAATCGTTCTTTTTTTTTTTCGTTAGATGGGATTTTCTACCTCTGAAGCAAATCTCGGCCCTGTAGAGTGAAACACGAGCTCTCACCTGGAGAGAGGTCCCCTGGTTTAGCAGTTCACAGCTTTTGGTGCCACGGAATGCTACAAGAGCATAACTAGATGAAAGAAAGCAACTTTATCTGTTGCTAGAAGAAGAAATAGAGCTCTAGACTGCTCAGACAAAAAGATAATTTTTTTACAAATCAATTAAAGTGTGTGGACAGAATGACAGAATGACAACCCAACTGCTTAGTACCCGCCTACGCAAGCGTGGCGAGTCCAATAAATTTTTCCAACCTATATATACATGTAGGGGTGAAGCTCCTAGATCATTCCTGTAATTGTTTTTATCAACATGTGATTTATAATTATGTCACAGTTGCATTTATTCTATGCACATTGTATTAGAGAAATAACAAATACTTAATTAAGATACCTTAGCAGTTAGCAATTTCCTGCCCATATACCCTTTACGTAAAATGGGTGGGGCTACAGCAACAAAAGCCTTCTTTAGAAGCATTATAAAGTAGAAAGAACCTCTGTAAGTCTTAGATCCAGCTATAGATGCAAGGTGGTGAAAACAATTATAGGAATATTTTTGTACTTATACACTTGCTTTATGTTATATTTAATGTATAGTCTTATGGCACTCCATTGCACTATGCTGTTGAGTACTGTAAAAGTGCTGATATTATCA